TCTTACGCTTGAATCCATCCAGGGAGCCAGGAATGACCATATTCTTTGTTGCCTTTTTGTAAAGACTGGCAGCGCTGTACGTGAAGCTAGTGCCCCTTATGTTGGTTCTAGGCCCAGGTCAAACTATTTTTGTATATACCCCTCTGGTACAAGAATGCGCCGTCCTATAAACATCAAAAGAAGCGAACTGGTTCCGATGATAGAGAAGTTTGTAAACCATGCATACATCAAATACCCTGCGCCGTGACTCAAGTGTGAAGAGTCCCAAGTATTTATTGCGAATAGACGCTTTCAGAATCCTAGAATACAAGAAACACCTACGCCGGAAAAGGATTTTACGAGTGAAATTATTTTGTACCTTCTCAATTGCCTCAACGTCCTTTCTCTGGGTGGGGTAAAACACTGTAGAACCTGCCTCCACCAACGAACAAACATAAGTTTTATAAGCCTTTAAAAGAGTAGATTCATTCGTAGATGAGTCCCTTAAAGATATGCGACATACGCAAGGGAGCTAGATTGCGACGCATTCGAATGTGCCTTAAGAAGTTAAGGGTCTTGCTGCAATGAAACGCCAGATCTCTTACATAGTTGACGGAAGAGATAGTAACCCCATCAACAATATAAGGATGAGAGGAAAACTCAGGGCTCTATCTTATTGTCATACACATCGTTTTGTGTGGGGCTAACCACCAAGTTTCCACCGCTCTGCCCAATCACTTAACGAAGTTATAGCCTTTTGCAGCCCCTCTTTATACGTTCTTTCGGTGATAACTTTATAGATTTTCACATCATCAGCATACACCTTAGTTGTGAGGTCAGCCCCTCAAACAAACGAGGTATCTCTGCATGTAAATACAGAAAAGCACTGGTGAAAGAACTCCAACTTTGGTACTCCACCCAACACTTCTCTACTGCCAGTGTAAGCTTGGCCAACTCGAGCCTGTGAGGTCCGGCGAGAAAGGAAATTGGTATACATTTGATCAGAGTTGGATGAAATCCCAGCACCTCCAGCTTATGAAGCAACTTTCTGTGGGACACTCTGACGAAGGCTTTAGCAAAGTCAAAATATATAACATCACAGCAATAATTGTTGTCAATCGCTGAGGTCCAATCCTCAAGGCTTTCTATCATATTCGTTTCCACTGATCGCCCCGGAATGAAACCATGCTGGGCCCTAGGAATGGTTTTGTTATCATTTCAGTCGGCAGCAGGTTTAATACTAGAATATGCGTCTTAAGCGGCATACCGTAGAATATGCGTACTAAGCCTTTTTCAGACAGTCTCAGAGATAAACGACGTAAAACTGACAGTGTAATTTGCAGGGTCCCGTGGCGATATCCTTCTCAAGCACTGGGGTGACCGAAAGAGTGTTTCCAACGATCAGTGAACTCCCCCATCATCAGCGATTGGTTGAATATGCCCAAAATGGTCCACAGAATACATCATGCCACCTTCTGAATGAAGATAATGGAATGAAGTTTATTTATGCATAATTAGAAACAAGTTGAATCAAACTAATCTATTTATTATTAGTGAAGTGAAAGTTGAAGTCATGGTTACAGAGGAGGAATACCAGAAAGGCATTCACATCCCATGAAATTTGAGACGCGACCGGATATATCGATAGAGCTTCAACCGCTGATTACAATATTGAAAACGAAAACTGAAATGAACTTGCCAAGGAAGTTGTGAGCAGTCAAAGTTGGTTGGACACTAGCCTCCGGGCTTTCATACTCACCGCGGAGCAGTGGTGGTGCCCTCGCTATTCACCCTGGAGGTCATAAGCCCTCCTCCCGTCAGAGCGTAAATTCCGAGAGCACTACCACTACTCCAAGACGACTTTGAAAACCCAAAGGCTAGTGTAATGATTTACCTGCAGCCAACTTTGACTGCTCACAACTTCCTTGGCAGGCTCATTTTGCAGTTTTAGTTTGTTTGTAATCAGCATTTGAAGCTATATCGATATATCTGGGTCTTATCTCAAAGTTCCATGGGGAGTTGAATGCCTTTCCTGGTTAGGCCAACTCATAATCCGCTCGTATAGTTGATTTGCATAAAACCGTGGCAGATCTTTCATAGTTGATGTGAATGACGACGAGAAGCAAGGAATTATTCCATCATGTTTTGAGAAAGATTTCGCAAAATGATAGGCAAGCATGTTATCTTTGTCTTGCGCATTACATGCTACAAGATCACCATATTTCAAAAACCCAATGCATCTTTTGTCCTGAATTTTATTATTGAGATACCTTTTTATTGTTGAGATACCTATATAAATTACCACTGCAACGCGCCTCTACAATTTTCTTCTCCACATTACAGAAAAAAAAATTTGAGACGAGATAAGAACATTGCTGTATACTTTTCATACTTATACCAGGTCCCAGTACGTCTTGTTTCATGAAAGAGACACTCCCGACGTTCACTCATTTTCCTTAGATACCGTGATAGGATGAGCCTGGCAGGGATAGCCGAGTGGTTAAGAGGTTAGACTCATGTCTGCACCTCTGAAAAACCGCGAGTTCGATCCCTGCCGAGTCTCTAAACCATGCCTTGCAAAAATTGCAAGAATGGTTCTAGTACCAGCGTCAGGCCCAGGTTGACAGGCCGGCTGATGAAGACCCCCGTCACAACAAAATATGTCTAAAGTCGAAAAAGGAATCAGTGATAAAGCTAGGACGTCACCCGGAAGTGGCGCGCAGAAACCCCGCCCGAGTTCTGTGGACAGTATGCGAGGGCTACCGAGGAATGGACGGCCTCGGACAAAGAAGCTAGTTCGAATTGGGAGTTTGAACGTAGGATCGCTAACTGGGAAGTCCCGAGAGGTTGCTGATCTGATGACGCGCAGTAATATCCAAGTCCTGTGCCTTCAGGAGACGCGATGGAAAGGCGCTAAGGCCAGAAATCGGGGAAGGTGTCAAGCTCTACTACAATGGAGAAGACACCAAGCGGAACGGCGTGGCCATAGCGGTAGCGGAGTCACTCAAGGACTATGTCTCCGCTGTGAACAGGATCAGCGATCGGATCATGGCTGTGAGGATAGACACGAAGGAGGGGTACTGGACCATACTCTCCGTGTACGCACCGCAAGCCGGGTGCCCCGAATGCGATAAAGACGAGTTCTATCTGCAGCCGATGAAGCCATAAAATCCGGTTCCGGAAGATGATTACCTGACGTGGCAGGTGACCTGAATGGGTTTCACATCGGTAGTAATGAGAGGCCTTAGAAAGAGTGCATGGAGTAGCGGATAGGAACGAGGAACGCTGAGGCGAGAGAGGCGTCCTGACCTGGCCACAGCCCACGATCTGGCAATCTGCAGCACGTTCTTCGCGGAAAAGGAAGCGCTCAGAGGTAACTACAGCAGCGAGAGGGAGACAGACGGAAACGGACCATGTGCTGGTAAGAAGATAACCACTCAAAACTGTGAAGGATATCAAAGTTCTACCCGCGAGATTCTGGCTCCCCCAGCACAGGCCCCTTCCCTTGCAGACATTGCGATAGACCTTCCCAAAGAAGAGCAAGGTAAGAACGCGAAAGGAGAATCGGTGTGGAGATGCCCACAAGCAGAGAAGGGTGACCTCAGGCGCAGATAATGGAAGTCCGGTCTCCCTGATCCGAACGGGCCAATACAGCGGACTTGGGCAGCGCGGCTGATACCATCCTGCGATGTGCCAAGGAGGTCCGGCCGAGACGGGAGGTGGATTTAGAGGAGAGAAGGCAGCGGCGGTTCTGAAACAAGGAGAGTCAGCGAGTCCTGAAGCAGAAGAAGGAAGCATGCAAGCGCTGGCAGAAGACCCAGAACCCCGAAGACCTCGCTACTTACAGGAGTTGCAAGAGGCTCGCTAAGGCTGCTGTCACCAAGGCGACACGGGAATGGACGCCTTGTACGAGAAGTTGGAAAGCAGAAACAAGAAGGCAAGAAATGAAAGCAGAAGTTCGTCTTCAGACTGGCTAAGGACCGGCATCGCGCTACTCAAGACATCAGAGTGGTCAAAAGTGTAAAAGGCAGCGATGGTGTCATCCTAAGAAAGCCAACCGAAGTCAAGAGCAGGTGGAAAGAGTACTTCACGGGGCTTCTGAACGAGGAGTTCCCCCACAAGAACGACTCACGGGCAGAGGCCACAGCTGATCCCATCGCACTCTGGACTAAGGATGAGATTAGGTGTGCACTTGGGAGGATGAAGGTTGGAAAGGCGGTTGGCCCAGATGGGGTGCCAATCGAGGCATGGAAGGCGCTCGGAGAGTACGGCATAAGGTGGCTCACTAGTTTCCTGAACAAGGTAACAGTGGAAGCAAAGATGCCGGATGCATGGATTACAAGTACTATCGTCCCCATCTTCAAGCAGAAGGGCGACGCACTGGACTGCTCTAACTACCGCGGGATCAAGTTGACTGCTCATACAATGAAGCTGTACGAGCGACTGGTCGACACGAAACTGCGGGAGCTGGTCCCGATCTCCCAGACGATAAAATAAAAGACGATAAAATTGAGCGTTCCGAATTGGTGCCTCCATTATTGTATAACTCAGGCATGCTAAAGTCACCCACAATCACAGTAGGATGTTCGCAAGCACTGAGATAACTAAGAACTTTGATTAATTGCCCCGTGTTTATAACCAGAGATGATGGTGCCCCATACAATGCTATGATACGTAAAGCAAAACTTTCGTTGAGCACATCAGCGCAAAGTATTTTATATGCATCATTCACAGACTCCTTGAAAACGAGTGCCATAGGGCCTGGAATGTACTAGTGACACTACTCCACCTCCAGGCTTTCTTTGGCGATCGCATCAGAGAATGTTATAGTCTGCGCTGAAATTCTCCAGGAGTGGTGGGATGATATGACTGGGTTGGAGCCAAGTTTCACTGAAGGCGAAGATATCAAAGTTATCAGATAAAACTGCATCAACGTAGATGGAGTTCCTTGGGATCGACACATTGGAATAGAAAAAGTTAAGAGTGCTCAAAAATAATCCGCGGAGGAGACATCAGTTTACCTGAGTGGAAGCAGAGATGCATGGAGTATCAGGAGTTTCCACACTAGGCTCACCTGAGCAGAGAAACACTCCCTTTTTACTTCCATGCCGTAGCGCTCGCCGTCGTTCACGTTCCCCTTTTGTCAGGGACTGCCTGAGGAAAATCCCTCGCTGAGGAAGATAGCGGAGGCGAGGCGCTCTTCTCAAAATCATACGTTGAAAACGTGAAGATAACACAACTTCTAACAATCTACTCCTATCTTGTAAATTCTTGCCCATCCTATAGACTGTGACAGGAGTGCATTTTACTCCGAGATAATCAAATACACTAAAGACGCTGTGAAAATCCTCAGACAACCTATCCCTCAATTTTGTGGAGATAGACTCAGCGATTCCACCTATTACAATAGAACGCAATCGTTCAATTTCATGAAAAGGTAAGACATGATTCGCTCGATGTCGCTAGAGCCATCATTACAAGCATCTCGATGAGGTGGAGAAACCAATTGGGAATTCATTTCAACTCTGCTCTCAAATTTAGTATCACGCAAATCCTTAATCTCATTTTTTAGCTTAAAGGCATGCCCCAGGATCGCACTGGTGTGGCTCTTGCACACGAATGTGAATGTATCGGTGCCAAGTGGGCCGGCAGAGAAGAAAAAAGGAAAAGAATCCGTCGAAAACGCTCAGGTTGAAGGCTCACTCACCTTCCTAATTGGCTGTGCTGGAGGAACGAGAGACTAAGCGCGAAGAGGAGAGTATGGGGCGAGAGAGCGCATCAGATGAGAGAGTAAGACAACGACCTGATAAGAGAGCTCGTTCGCTGCAGCTCGAGCAGCTTACTTTGCAAGCCCCAAGCGTTCTTGTCGGTCGAATTCCGTGCACGTGAACGCCACATTTGTGATTGTCCCCTAGGGTTCTATACTTCTGACCGAAGATCCTGATCTTCACACGACCTCTGCCTGGGTTGTGCCTTTAACGTTTTCAGAACGCAGAAAACTTAACTCTGACATCATCGCGCATATAACCTTTTTAACAGAATCTGTGACGCGCCTTGAGATTGGTATCTCCTCACTTGCACTGGAGATCTCCCACATGACGCTTCATCCCCTCGATGCCACTGTTAACACAAAAAACGAGGGGAAGCCATTCCAGCATCCATGAAAAATGCAATCGATAAAGTTGCATGGGAGACCAAAAGATAAATTCGGAAACTGCACAGCAACAATGGTAGGAAGAAACGTACCTGATGCGGTGGCGAATATTTCTTCTGACTTATACTCAGTTTGCCACCCTGAACGAGCAAATAGGATCCAAATTAAAGAGAACACGCTATAGTCGATCCAGAAAGAAACTGCCTTTGACCACATCGAGTCGATGAAAAAACAGCGAAGACCGATTGTCATGACGTTTCGTCATGATGCGACAAAGAAATCAGGGACTCTTGACACGTCATCCTATCGATTAAATAACTCAAAACTTGCATTCAATTGCCGCTGGCCGCACTGCCAGTCCATTCCAACCGCCGTTCCAACGGACCGCCTCCTACCCAGGTATAAATACCACCCATTTCGGGGGTATAAATACGCACTCGGAGACTCCGGATAGTCTTCGCGGTCTGCCTCGCCTCAACTCTCCAGTCTTCTCAGCGATCTCCATACAAGCGACTTCGGTCGCACATTTAACCTAAGGCGGCAACGCCAGCAACAACCAAATAATCAATAACCACAAGACAATCAATAAGGTACAGCAGTGATCATCCACAAGGCCAAGGCACAATTAATATCACTAACCAAGGACCACTAACCTACACCTCCAGCCACTATCGGCCAATACTTAAAGGCACAAATCAATATTGAAGAACCCAATACGAATTCAGAGTAATGGCGTAACCAAACATAACGTTACTTATACTTTATACGGCTCGTCGTCAGTTCATCTGCGAGCACCAGCAACAAACCATTCGTTTCGTTCTTCCGCAATCGCCATCCATGGTTGTTGTAGAATTCGTCGGAGACGGCGATCTGAAGCATCGTTTAGCTGCATTCGCAGCTGCTTTATGTGATTGACGAGTGCATCTCCCCATCTCGCAGCAGGTCTCCCTTGGACGCGAAAAACTACGGGAGCCCACTCTACCGTTCTTCTTGTCCACCTGTCATCTGCTTCCTCATGAATGTGTCCGGCCCATCGTAGTTTGGCGTTTGTCATGTACTCTACAGGATCTCGGAGAGGGACATTCTGCGCAGGTCTGCGCTGTGGAGTCCAGCTCGATATTGAGTAAATCTATTAAACCTCAAAGAACATCGCTCGAGCGCTCTGGGAGCTACAGTCAAAGTCCTTGACGTGGATGCGCTGCTCACCCATGTCTCTGCCGCGTAACAAAGCGCTGGAAGAACTGTAGAGTCAAACAAATGCGCACGAAGTTCTGGTCAGCCAGGTGATTGGTAAACTTCTTTCAGAGGTCCGAAGCCTCGCCACGCTGCTCTCTGTCGTCTTCCTAGCTCTTCTTTCATATCGTTGTCCATGTCATGGATCGTCGAGATAAACGTAAGATGGCTTCCATGATACGTGTCGCATCAATCTTGATTCCGCCTCCATCGACCAAACGTTCTTCATGAATTGTGTCTTTTTTCTGTGATCCGCACCCACCCTTCTTTCCTGCTTCATTCAGTTCAGCGAGCATCGTCTCAGCTTGCGTAGTGCTACTTGAGAAGAGAACGATGTCGTCTGCGAGCCGCAGATTTGAAAGTGTACCGTCCGTCCACACGAATGCCCTTCTCGTCCCATCGAGCGACTTCATTATCCACTGCAGCGCAGCGCGGTAAACAACTTTGGCGAGATGGTCTCGCCTTGTCTCACGCCCTTCCCCAAAGGATGGTGAGAGGTCGTTGGAAATAGTTGCACCGTTGCGGTGCAGCGACGATGTGCAATCGGCAGCGTTCTATGTAGACGGCCTCCACTCCTTCGGTCGACTAATGCTGACAGGATCGCGTTTGTTTTCTACACTGTCAAAAGCACTTCTCGTAGTCAACGAAGGCTAAGAACAAGAGTGCATTTGGAATTCTCGGGACATCTTCTATGACCATGGCGACTGACTGAGTGTGGTCTAAGCAGCTGAATCCCTGACGAAATCGGCTTGCTCGTAGGTTGCGCTTCATTCAGTGATCGAGAGATGCGTGTAAGGATGATCTTTGTGAATAAGCTTCGTACAGAACGCTCAGCAAGCTAATTGGGCGGTAATTGCGGAAGATCATCAACGTCTCCTTTCTTATGGGAGGATAATCATGCGTTAACTAATAATAATTAAAACGTTAACTAATGTAGGAAATAATATGCGTTAACGAGTGTTTTAGGAATTGTGTATAGAGAGATGTTAATAAATGTTATTAGCTGCAAGTGTTGTTTCAATAAAATAATTTAATGAAGTCGCATCAGGGGCAATCTATCACTCTACCTCCAAAACACCGATCATGCACTCCCGAAACAACTGAACACAGATGAATACTGGGTTACCTGAACTGGTGGCAACTTATTTCGAAATTTTTTTATGCAGCTGCCAGCTCGGGCACCGCCAAAATGATCAGTACCAGTGAAGAACTGCAGACATGACAGCAAATGACTGCCTTCATCACTATCTCAGCCATGCAGCGTGGTTCCACTTTTTTTCCAGGCCAACCTTATTAAGCCCTCCACAAAGTTTCACATTAGCAGCTTATTCTTTGGGTCAGAACGTTCCCTCTCATGGTGCATTACATCACTAGAATCCTTGCTTTAAGAAAGATTAATACCACTCACCTCCACGGATCTCTTTCAGCTGAGGGTCCTCTCTGTCACAGAAAGATCTCTAGCCGGTTGGTGGCGAGGCTACGTGGCGCGACCCAGGTGGCGGTAGGGGGTAAATCGCAAATAAAGCCACCATGTATATGCCCTGAGACGCATGGTGGATTCAGGGGATGGACTCCCTGTTCTGTAGTGCTGTGTTGATTCATACCAGCTGTCTCACTCAGGCAGCATCCATGCATGCTTGCGTGTGTGGTGCGCTCTGTGTGTGTGCGGTTGGTATCCTGCATGTCGGCAACAGCACAAGCTTGCATTCAAGTGACTGGGAAGTACATGGAGGCGATTCGGGGCCGCCTCAGAAAATAAGCCCCTTGTTCGCTTCAGGATAGCGTGGCTAACTACCTGGAGGCGTCTATCCTAGGCCCGACGACAGAGCCTGGCAAACTACTACGTGTGCCTTCAATATGCGAAAACAGCAACCATGGATGGGGCCTCATTCCCTGAACTGAGGGGCCCCCAATACTGCAGCGTGGGTAGGACCGCTCGGGAGAGCTGCTAGAATCTCCAGGGCCCGGATAGGCTGCTAAACGAAGAAGACTAAGATGGCGATCTGTACTGTCAACGCACGAACGCTTGCATCCGAGAGCTCACAGGAAGATCTGATGATGCAGGCCAGGAAGATCAAGTACGACGTCCATCGGATTGACCGAAACGAGAAGGCACCGCCCGCCTACACGCCGTTTTCGATTACTGGAGAAGAACTGTTCCTTGAACATGCGACAGCAGAGGCGTTGGCGGTGTGGGTGTCCTCGTCAACACGCACTGGCCATAGAACATCGATTCGTACGAAAGCCGTTACGACCCGAATCGGACGTTGAGGTGAGAAGATGTGGTTCAACTCCTGCTGTGACAATCTTCGTCGCCTACGCACCAACATCGAGCTACGACGAGGAGGAACACGAAGCATTTTATATGGAATTGGAGAGTTCTACATGGGAAGATGATACCTTCTTCAACGTCATCGTCGGCGACTTCAACGCCAAGGTTGGGCCCAAGAAGAACGGCCTAAAGAACTCCACATCGGTACTCACAGGAATGCGAATGGAATAAGCAGGGTGAGAAACTGTCGGAGTTTATCATGTCGACCAAACAATCATCCATGGCAACTCACAGTTCAAAAGCCCCTCACTTCGTTGGACTTGGGAGTCACCTGAGGACAGCTCCATAAGAGCCACATCATCTTCAATCCAAGGTTTTGCCTGACCAACGTCGCCTGTTGTTCCGAAGTTCTTACCGGGATCGGACTTCGTCTCCTCCCGCGCCAAGATTCCCAATTTCTTGATGCGTGTTGAGAAGCAGCAAACTTCAGGAAGCGAAGTCCCAGGACCACACCAACGTAGACCACTTCGCTCCCTTGTCAGCTTATGGAGGGATCTCCGTTATCGAGAACATCGACGAAGAATATCATCGGCTCGTTGAACACACGAGAGTGGCAGGAAGGCAGAGAGTTTGCCCAATTCACCGAGGACTTCTGTCTACGGAACCCTCGAGCTGATACGCCAACGTGGAGCCGCACAGGCTGCAGGCAATCCAACTCACGTCCGAGCTGCGAAGCTATGCAGAGAGGCGATAAAGGAGATCTCAGGAGGAGAAGACAAGCAGTAGTTAGCTGAAGCAGCACGAGGCTGGGAGAGCTCCGCAATGCCACCGAAGGCTTTGCCAGCTACAAGACAGATGACGCTGCCTCGACGTCGGTATGGAACAGTTACTGCATCCGAAGGCAATGGAGAAATCATCCACGATTTCTACTTGGAGGCTTATCGATAGCCATGTCATCCGCCCACTTATCACTGCACAGGATGGATACGTCGTCCCTTCGTACCCTCTTCGAAGGCCGACACGCCATTAAGTCGGTGAAGAATCGTACAGCACCCGTCTCGACAGAGGTCAAACCGCGAACATCTGAAGAATGCGCCGCCAGTCATCATCAAAACTCTGGCTCGACTCTTCACGCGCTACCTGTCGGAATGCAAGGTACCCACTCGAGGAAAACCAGCAGGGGACCATGTTGCTGTACAAGAAGGGAGACCGGACGACATTGGCAACTATCGCCCAATCTGCCTGCAGTCTGTAGCTCACAGCTATTCACTCGAGTCATCCTTACAGGATCGGCAGAATACTAGATGCAAGGACAGCCATGCGAGCAAGCAGGGTTTCGAAGAGGGTTCAGCACGATCGACATATCCAACACGTTACAAGACTCATTGAAGTTTCACGAGCAGTACAAGATGCCGCTTTGTCTTACGTTCATCGACTTGAAGAAGGCCTTCGACTTTGTGAAGACAGAAGCGGTCATCGAAGCCTGGGCCAACCAGGGCGTCCCTACTCAGTACATCAAGATTTCGTGAGCTCTACAGGCAACTTTACGACCAGAAATCTCACCATTCTACAAGGAGGTCACATCGACGTCAAGAGAGGGGTTCGACAGGGCGATACCAATCTCGGCCCAAACTC